TCAGAGAGGCCAGATTGAGATGGTTTGGACATGTGCAGAGGAGGGATAGTGGTTATATTGGTAGAAGGATGTTGGAGATGGAGCTGCCAGGCAAGAGGTCAAGAGGAAGGCCAAAGAGGAGATATATGGATGTGCTAAAAGAGGACACGAAGTTAATTGGTGTGAGAGTAGAGGATGCCGAGGATAGAGTTAGGTGGAAACAGATGATTCGCTGTGACGACTGTGAGGCGTGTTGTTTTATTTTGAAAAGAGAAGACTAATAAAAGGATATTTCACTGTGTGAAATTTATTATGCATTAACGTATCAAAATTAGCATGTGCACATGGATCTTCACTGTTTAGGATAAACAGAAAAGACTGTCCTCAACTTGTCGGTATACAATATTTGTATGAAAAGGTGCTACTATCTGATTGGTCCAAAACTGTTGGGGAGAAGCTGTGGTTTAGACTTAACTCTCCCACCATTGGTCCCTCAGTACTTGTCCGACCAGCTATAGTAGTTTAAGGCAGAAAAAATGGTGGGCCAACAGCATTTACTTTGAACAAATGCAAAACCAGGAAATTATACTATTTTACACTATGATATAGAGTGCTAGTCCACATTGTCAACAGTTTAATTCAGGTGATAATCTGCCAAATGTTTACTGTCAAGGCTTTTTTCAAAGGACAGATTCAAGCTGTAGAAGACAATCCACTTTGTCCATGGTGACTGTAGATGTAACTGTAACAAAAAAGATTTACATGACCACTGTTATAGCCCTACAGTACAATCAACACCCACCGTCCCCTGCAAGCTCCTCGCTGAGAAGTTTTTTTGGCTTGTTAACAATGCCATGCAAAATTAGTTCCAGGCCGAGAAGCGTCACATTACACATGGCTGCGGGAGTCTTTGTCTGGACCTGTTTCTGACAATGCCATCTCTGGAACTGACAGTGAGTGCATCAACCAGTAAGCAGCACTGCAGCAGGGGGACAGTCAATGAAATGAAGCTGCACTAAGTAGGGGTGTGTATATTTCCCTCTCAAATGGTTCAATGCGAACCTCGATACATGGTCCATGATTCAATACAAAATTTGTAACGATGCGATACAGTACAATTCAGAGCACTTTTGATTTGATTCAGCAGATTTTCAGTTTTAATTTAGCTATTATTTGAAATACTATACATATATTAAAGTATCTGTTTAGGGTATAAAATTAAAAAGAGTTGGTGTTTCCTCATATCAGTTTTGTATTTCAAGGAGCAAAAGGCAAACAGATAAAACATGATATCTACTCTTTTTCACCAGTAGGTAAACAGTAAACCTCCAGCTGCTGTTTCACCTTGTATTACCCACAATTCCAAAGAAGACATTCTGAAGAGATGATTTATTGTGAGGAACTCAGAATATTCATAATAAATTAACTAACTTTCATTCCAGGCATTTAGAAGAAGGAAAGAACCTTGTCCAGTCCCCAGAACTAAGCTGACTGTCTGCTTTGTTTCAGCTAAAGACAGCTTCATGCAAATCACTCCCCCAATGCATAGACCAGGCTCTGCTTTGTGTTTCAGAGACACTTTATTTGTAAGACCCTATCACACCATCCTCTGCAAACAAGCCAGATGTGGACATCAAAAGGGCCAAGCCATGTCTCCATGACTACATGGGACAGACTTCCCCATTTCCTTGTGACTGTTACTACACTAGAATACACATCCGGGACTTCACACCTTGACCTTAGACAATAAGTTGAAGCTTGTTAAAACCAACTCAAGACAGTCGGTCCTCTTATCTGATTCATTTCCAGGGGAAGGCAGATACTAAAACCATCTAATGTCCCCATTTCTACACTGGAATGCAGAGACCACCATAAAGTGTGACTCAATATTCACTCTCTATTTTTGACAGTAAAAAATGTTCTTAGATAAAGTGAAATTGTGTTAACCAAAGGTTGTGTAAAATATTGTATCTACAAAAAAGTTAGAAATGTTTTAGTCAAGCTGATTAATGATTACTGAACTTTATATGAAATTTTTCCATGAGGATTGATTTAAATTTGCCTATTGTATTTAAGATGTCTGAAACTCAATCATCACAAAAGATGACTTTCTGGTTAACCTCAACCGGCTCCAAACACTAGTTTAGAAAATGTAAAAGTTTTTGATTTTCATTTTATGATTGTGTGCTTTACAAAATTCTTGCTTATATTCTTTAAAAAAATATATTTTTTTTATTTTATGTTTGTGTGTTTAACAAAATTCTTGCTTATGCTCTTTTATTCTCAAATATGAGCCAATGTGGAGGTGTGAACCTTTTTCAGTGTGTGCCTAAAAGAACAAATCAGGAGGTCATTATCATGACACCAGAGTCCCAACCAGTCAGAGGACTCCAACTGGTAGACTCCTGATCAATCAGGGGAAGCCAGGTGCCTGAGCTTGGCACATGACTACCGGAGTACTGCCAGTCCTTGCTCTCAGAACAGATGACAGAATCAACAGAACAAAAGAAGCAGGAGAATGGAGAAAGTCTGAGCCTTTGAAGTGTGTCTCTCATCTGCGTTTTCATGTTTTGTCTGAAAGTCATTTTTTATAAACACACACATCACCATAAGTTTTTTTTTTTTTAATTTAGCAACTTTTAAAAAAATATTTCTATATTAACTTGCAAGGAACTTGTCTTGCCAAAATTTTAATCATTTCAGCCAAAGTTTTTGCAACAAAGAAAGTTTTTGTAGCAAAGTCAAAAGCAAGTTTTAATTAAGCCAAATCCTTTGTTAAGGTCCAAAAATGCCATTAGAACAATCCTGTGACCATCAGTTTAATTCAGAGATGGTTTATCTTCAAGACATTGCCAAACGCCAGAAACACAGAAGGACCCTGGTGAACCAAGCATCCTGAATGAACCCTTGGCCACTGAGAAGGAGCAGCCCTGGAGAGCGAGCCCAGTCAAATCCGGCAATGACAGACTTATCCCGAGTCTCCAGCTCACAACCATCTTGGAACTCCAGACCCAGCTCAACTCTGGCCTAAAAAGGTTTCGAATCCATCCATCCTTGCCATGTGAGCCCCGCTAACAAATAAGTGCACCCTGGCAACCTGATGTCCCATGAAAACCGTAGTTAATACTCGATTAAATTCTCTAACCTACTGAAAGTGATTTTCTCTCCAAATTTGTGACTAAACCCCAGAATTTAGACCTAAAATCTATCTTAATAGTAGACTATTTTTTCCCTCATCATTCCACCACTGCAAGAAACCAGTAATTCTACCAGCCATCCACTGATGTCTGGTTACAAATGTACCATTGCATTGCATTTTTCATCCAGATCATTTTCCCTGACTGCATATTGTAAATTAATTTAATTGGCTTCATTATCTCTGGTGTCTCTAATTTTCAGTAAATAGGTCACTGAACTGAAGAATTCCTGGCTTTCAGATCAAGACTGAATTAATAAATTCATCAATAGAGTGTAGTCCACTATAAAAGTCTTAGTGCCCTACTCTAATGAGGTATTAAATATTAAATTAATACTCATAAGGTTTAGTCATTTCCACTACATCCTTATCACACAGAGCTGGAATACATTGTTCACTTAAATCCTGCTGACATGTTATGGTGTGCCTCAGCTTCAGAATTTGTCCAGAATTTGTCATTTGTCCAACTCCTACATTTTCAACAGGCATGAATCTGTACAAATGAAATAACTTCTAGCCTCAGATACTGACTTCAGTCCAACCGGGTGTAATTATCAACTGATGTGCTCTGAAAGTAGCTGCTAACAAAACTAGCACTGCTACTTGCCTCAGGTTGACTGCCCTCGCAGCAAACTGTCCTGTTTCCATTGGTTCAACAATGCGTCTCCTTCAAAATGTTTCTACTTGTTGGTGGTATTTCTGGTATAGGCTACTCGACACAAGCACTGCATGTTCTGCACTATGAGGTAGCTGCTAATACTAGCATTGTTTGCTAAAAAATGTACAGTGTTTTTCCTGGATCTGCATCGTTTCCACACAAGAGGCACATGTTAGAGCGGAACACAGTGAGAAATAACAGAAAACTTGTCAAAGGTCACTTTATGAGCTTCCATATCAATTTTAAACAGTTTTCAAAACTCATTTGGTTCGAATCTGAGGTTTTTAACTTATGCAGCCATAAATATGTCTCTTGTATTGATTTTCCTGTTCATTTCGGTTTATCTTTGCACCCCTAGCACTACAGAGTTGTTGGTATTTTGGTGAAAAATGTGTCTGACACTATGTGGACAAAGCTGTTTCTAGAGATAAGATACTCTACTGCCACTTTGGTGATTTTGTAAACAAGGGCATAATTAAAATATGCTTATAATTGTTTTATGTAAAGACCGTCTAGCTGATGGATGCATTTAAACTGAGATTTTAAAGAAAAGGTCAATGTAGTTACAGCACATGCTGTATGTTGGTAAATAAGCCTGCACTGATCTACAGTTGATTGTGAGTGATTGCTACAATATTGTGTTGGGTTCTGGCTGCATCTGAAGGAAGGATACATACACCATTACAGATAACCATTTACTGTGTCACACTGGCTCAGCTGTTTCAGAGCACAGGGAGCAGTAATGTGATTGGCTGGGAGTGTATTTAATAATCACCACAGTCTTTGGTCTGTTATAGGAAAAGAAAGGGAAA